TAGCTTTATTTGATTCAAGTTCCCCAAGCCATGCTATATAGGATAAGAACCTTGGAAAAATAATTATTTGCATGTTTCATAGTCAAACATAGATCCAAGGTTTCTAGGGTTGCATGTACACCATAGGAGTGTTAGAATGCTCAAAAACCCATCACTATATACACGAAAATAGGCATGGATTCATACCTCAAACAACAACCTTTGATGAAGTGATAGTAGATCTGAGCTCCTCAATCAGCCTAGCTTGAATCCCCTCATTCCTTCTTGCAAGAATGCACTAAAATTGAAGCAATTAGCTCCTTCCCTCACTCTCTATGCTTTCTGGTTTGTTAGGGTTTCTCAAGTGGGTGTGTGGCCACAAATGAAGGCCAAAAGGTCCTTTAAATAGGGAACCGGCCCAAAGATTTAGGGTTTCTGTCCACAGCGCGGACTCGTCGAGTCGACCCTCCGACTCGTCGAGTCCATTCATTAATCCGAGTCATCAGTCGCGATCCCACTCGATGAGTTTAGGCGTCAACTCGTCGAGTCCCTCTTCTCATCTTAAACAAATATTTAAATTATGATACCTAGAATTCCAGATGTTACATTTATTCATCTTCTTCTTTGGTGCTTGTTTTCTTTCCAAACTTTGCAAGAAGGTCCTTGGTGGGTATAAACTTGTTTATGTTATTCGAAATTTCTAAGTCTTCCGTTGCTAAATATTATGTTTTTGGAACTAATTTTTGAATAAAAACCCAACACTAACTTGTTTTATATGTTCATAAATAACCATTATTGCCGGCAAACGTAGGTTTTTCTTGATGTTGCATCTACCTAGCATATACATTGAAATACGTATCACTAATGTGGCATTGTACATATTTGTCGTCATTTAAAATAAAAAAAGGATGTGTTTCGAAGAATTCTCATTAAATCAAACCCTAGATCGATCGATGGCTTCTTCTTCCTCATCTTTTTCTTCTAAACGACAAGACGAATTTCAAGCCGATCATCCAGGTTGCCCACAACCTAAAGGGACAGCTTTTATTCTTCTTATTCTTCTTACCTTAACAACATTTTACCAGTAACCTTTCATGATCACTTTTTTCATACCATAAATCATACCCATTATTGACTGCATAGTTGGTGATACATAGCTTCAATTCCAATGGGTTAGAAAACTTCATACCTAAAACTGGCACCATTTGATCCCAATCTTGGTTTTCATCATGGACAGGGAACACAACCTCCTCATCTTTTGTATTGTTGGTGTAACACACTGATTATTACCACAAAAATTATCATTTTTAAATAGATAAAACATCCAATATTATAAAACCCGATTCGTAAAAATCCCAAGTGAATCAAATACATTTACCCCAAATCAAAGTATCAAAATGTGGAAAATCATAAAATCTGCAAGTTAGAGTGTACAGTCAAGCCTTCGCCTTTCCGCGATCATCTCAAGTAACGGAAACACATTTAATCCACAACTGTAAGGACAAAGCTTAGTGAGTTCCCAAAATATTACATACAACTCAACAAAATAAACAACTATAGGTTATCAACAACCTTGTGGATTAACAACACAATTCACGGGTTATCACTAACCCTAGGGACTATCAGTAGTCCCATGGACTCACAACTGTCCAAGAGATATCAGCAACACAGTTACAGAAAACACATCAAAAATTGAAACCCAGCTGGTCAGCATGCATACACTACTACACAGGTAATATAGTGAGAAGACTCGCCTCACAGATAGCAGCTAAATTAAGACAGCTTCTCACACAGTGAAGAATGGTACTACGAAACACCTAACAACAATAAAAAGTATGCACTCAGTATACACCCTAAATCCTTTAAATTGACCAAAATTCAACTACGGTCAAAAGTCAACAGTCAAAGTCAACTTGGCAGACCTCCACATCATGGCCACCCATAGGCCACGTCGTGGGAACTCCAAGACAAAACAGTCGGCCATCAGTCAAATCCTACATCGTGGCCACTATTGGCCACGTCGTGGCATCGTCCAAAGGAAAAGGCCGTGGAAACACCATTCGCCACGCCATGGCAACTGGTAGCCACGCCGTGGGCAATGGGAATCATTAACTTAATGGATTAAGCTATTATACTTCAATCCCAACAACTCTAACACTCATATTCGGATCCCTACAAGGTCTTGATGGATAAATTTTCCAACTTTATCCATTAGGACATGCTATTAAGACAAGATCTCCAATTCTAAGCTCTTAATGACAACACCAAGGCATGGGTTGTCTCAAAAATCCATGCATGCCAACTTTCCAACCAACCCTAAGGTCTAGAAGCTACCAAATGCACTCAAAGGTTCTAGAGTTCACTCAAACTCCAAGAACAAGAAAATTTGGGGCTAAAAGCTCATAAAATGACCTAGAATTAGATCTAGAGAACTAATGATCAAGGTAGATACTTTATACCTCCAATGATGCAGAAATGAGATACAGATGACAAATCTAAGCTGGAACCACATTCACAAGCAACACCAAAAGCTCATTCTTCCTTAATCTTCACAAAAATGGAGTTCAAGCTCTCAAAACACAAAAGAAGGCTAGGGTTTGGACGGGGGTTTGTTTTCCGAGGGTGAAGGCTGCCAAATAAGGCAACCCTAGGAGTTAGTGTCCTTAAATAGGACACCAACCCTTGGGATTAAGGTTTTAGGCCCAAAATGGCTGCCACGCCGTGACAACATAACGTCACGTCGTGGCCAAACGTGGATGCACGTTTTTCATTAACTGATTGCCACATCGTGACACTCTAATGCCACGTCGTGGCCAGGCCAACTTAAAACAAAATAAATAACTTAAGAATTGGAAATTAATACCTGGAACAAGGATGTTACAGTTGGGTTCATCATCATCACTTATTTGACCATTAGTATTGGAAATACCTAAAAGTTTGTTCAAAAATGGGTCAACAGTTTTGTCAAAAGTGTAAACCTCTTCATTACATTCATGTTCATATTCCATAATATCATAAATTTATGAGTCCTTGTCATCCTCTTCATCCAACCTATCCAAGTCATACCCTTTATCATCTACTAACACCTCGTTATCAATCCAATCAAGAATTGGTTCATTTTGGTGGTCAATGTACACATCCAACTCGTACCTTCAATTCCAAACCCTAATCTTCGATTTATTGTATCGATTTCTCAATTAGGATGTGTTTTTGGAGCAAAGTAAGCTGAAGAACCCTAATTAAATGAGAAAGGGGTGTAGTGGCCATGTAAGAATCCACATAATGGTTTTTAACTGAGCTAAATCGATGCAATTGGATACAAAGGGTGATAGCCGGTAATAATGGTTATTTATGAACATATAAAAAAAGTTAGTTGGGTAAATGAGTACAAAAAAGAATATTACCTATACGTGAACATACCAAAAAGGCAGTTACCTTAATAAGTCAATTTTCCTTTTAATAAATATAAATCGCAAATATCACACATTGAAACATTATTCTCAATAAACAAACTGCTTGATTTTTTAATTTTGATTTGTTGTAACATAAATGTAATAGCAACTAAATAACAAAAAAAATATATATAAAGAAAAAGGTCAGACGAAAATTACAAATATAAATATAACTTTTTTATTTACTTGAATCAAAATAATAATAAAAAAATTAGAAAACCATAAATTACCAAAATTATAAAAAAGTAGAAAACCAAAAAACACTCAAACACCAAAATTGTAATATACTCTAATATATTCATACATTTTATTCTTTTTGAAAAAGATAAAAAAAAGTTATCAACTTGATGAAAAACAAAAACAAAAAACAAAAAATTTAAAAATACGCAAAAATTTAAATTAATACGAAAAATTATAAAAAAAATACGAAAATAATTAAAAAGAAACAAAAAATATAAAATGTATGAATATATTATAGTATATTACTATGGAATATTTTAAAGCACGTAATTGAATATAAACGTTAACCTAATTATTATTTTAAATAAATAATTATAACAACTTCGGTTATTTTAAATAAATAAATAAAAATAACAATTTAATTGTTATCAGTTCAATTTACAAATAAGAAAATTTTAAGTAAAAACGGTTCCGACATGATTTATCGAATTTGAGTTCATTTACTTGAATTTAAATAAATAAAAACATTAGAAAAACCATAAACAATTAAAACTATAAAAAAAAAAAAACCAAAATGTCAAAACGGTATAAAAAAATTATCAAATTGTTGAAAAAAATTAAAAAAAAACAAAAAAATAAAAATAAAGTGTATATATAAAATCTCAAATTTTCAGAATTGATCCTTGAGGTATACATAATTTTCAGATTTGGTCCGACGACATTTTGGTCATTTAAAAAAAAACTAACTAGTAAAAAGTTAAAATTAATGCTAGAAGGAACTTTCATACAGTTTTTCTGTTTTTGAAACCATAAAGACCAACGGCCTGATATTTTTCATAAAAATACTCTAAATGCAATAATTTTCAAATCACAAGTACCAATTATAATTTTTGTCTAAAAGTTAAATAAAAACCTATAAATAAAAATAATAAAAAGAATGTGAGTGAAGTGGTTGCAACTTGCAAAGAGATTAAATGGATATTTTATAAATTGACTTTCAAACTTAGTATAGAGCAAAAAGTAAAAAAAATCATATTTTATCTCAAACTTAGCAATCAAAATATTTTTTAATATTCACAGAAATAGAAAAAAAAAAATATGTAAGTTTGAAGATAAACAAGTAAAATAAAAAAAAAATGAAATTTGAATAGTAAAATCGTTTAATTTTTCTTTTGATGAATTAAAATAAAAAAAAATCAAAACTTCATTATCATTTAATAAAATTAACCTATAAATATATATTACTTTGTATTTCCCCCTTGTGTAATAGAGGTTACCTAACTATATATTTCTATCTAGTTGTATGAAAGAAAGCAAAAAAACAATATAAATATATTTTCTTTTTCAGTCTCTCTATTTATTTAATAACCTCCAATTTCTATAAATATCCCCAAACGAACCTCTAGTAATAACACCAAACACACTGCTCACTTGCATTCTTCTTCCTCTACAAACATCACTTAAGAGTTAAGACTTAACTTCTCACTCTTCACTCCATCACCCTCACAAAATCATGGCTCCACCAGCTGCTACAAACACCGGCAACACACCAACTTCCGGTCACGTCAAGGCGAACACCTTGCCTCGCCGTGCATATATCACCTTCTTGGCCGGAGACGGTGACTACTGGAAAGGAGTCGTTGCTCTCGCCAAGGGTCTCCGCAAGGCCAAGTCCGTCTACCCACTCGTCGTAGCAATGCTTCCCGACGTTCCGATGGACCACCGCCACAAATTGCTCTCCCAAGGCTGCATCATCCGCGAGATTGAGCCTTTATACCCGCCGGAAAACCACACCCAGTTCGCCATGGCCTACTATGTCATTAATTACTCCAAGCTTCGTATTTGGGAGGTAGTTAACAAATATCTCTTATATTCTTTATTATAATCTTTGCTGTGTGATCACTTTTTTATTAGTTAATGTATAATTATCTTCTTTACAGTTTGTGGAGTACAGCAAGATGATATACTTGGACGGAGACATACAAGTGTTCGACAACATTGACCATCTGTTTGACTTGCCGGACGGCCATTTCTACGCCGTCATGGACTGTTTCTGTGAGCGAAACTGGAGGAACAGCCCGCAGTATCAGATCGGATACTGTCAGCAGACGCCGGACAAGGTTCACTGGCCGGAAGAGCAGCTGGGTCCAAAACCACCGCTCTATTTCAACGCCGGAATGTTCGTTTCCGAACCCAATCTCTCCACCTACCACGACCTCTTGGAGTCGGTGAAGTCCACTCCACCGACGTTATTCGCCGAGCAAGATTTCTTGAACATTTTCTTTCGAGATATTTACAAGCCTATCCCAAACGTCTACAACTTAATCTTGGCGATGCTTTGGCGCCACCCTGAGAACGTTGAGCTTGACAAGATCAAGGTTGTGCACTACTGCGCCGACGGGTCGAAGCCGTGGAGGTACACCGGAGAGGACGTGAACATGGACAGGGAAGATATCAAGATGCTAGTGAGCAAGTGGTGGGATATTTACAACGACGAGAGCTTGGATTACTTTCATGGCGATTCTAAGGCCACAGCCACACACTTGGTGGCGGCGGATAAACCGACGCCGCCGGTGACCAAGAGGGGTGGTCCTCTTTTCGTTAGTGCTCCGTCGGCGGCTTAGCCGATCGATGGTGTTTTATACTATTTAGTTTTTTCTTTGTTTTTTTATTTTCTTAATTATGCTTCTCAAACTCGTATAATATAGTATTGAGTTTTGATAGAAGTTGTAACTAAAAGCAAATAGTGAGTTGGGATATGTAGTACTAATGTACACTTCTGATTTTTGGCTTTGGTGTGGGTTTGTAACTATGAATAGTGGGATTTCCACCATAATATATTAATGGAAAATTCCTATTTATGTATAAGATTGTTCCTAATTAAGTGCAAAGCGATCATAGGATACTTCCAGGAATGCAAGCCATTTCAAATCTTTGTGATTGTTAGTACTAAATAAATTACTAAATGGTAAACTAAATCCAGGGTTGGCGCCACATTTGAGGGTTTTTTTTTTTTTTTTTTTTTTTTTTATCGTATTTGTTAAGTTAAAAATAGCCTATAAATTATCCTTTTGAAAAATTATTTAGATTAGTTTATTAAAAGCTTTTATTTTTCCATTGAATTTAGATTAGTTTATTAAAAGCTTTTATTTTTCCATTGGTTGATACTCTACGTACACTTGTTATATTTATTTATACAGTGTTAGTGTTAGTTATGTATTTTCTTAAATATTTTAAATTTATCTTTAATTAGTCATACAAAAATTATTATTTTAAATATTATTTTATATTATTTTATATCATATACGTAACTTATTAGCTAAGTTTTTATAAAATAATAATTTTATCAACTAACTTACAACCTTTTAGCTATCGGTTATAAGTTAATACGTCAAATTGATATTATATTTTATATTTAACTTGAATTATATTTTTCAAGTAAATCATATTGAATGATCCAAGTTTAGATGTATGATGTTTTCTCAATTCGATCATATTTTGTGGATGGGACAAATTAACATGTAAAGTTTATGTAAATAAAATGTTTTGGTAGTTACTTATTTAGGCCAAAATTATGTTTTAAATTCCAAACCAAATAAAGCAACTGATTTGATGGTTGGTGGTTTAGTCGTAGGAAGATACAAAGTTCCTTTATGGGGATTTTTGGGGCCACTCCCAAGTCCCGATCGCTGTAAATAAAATGTTTAATCGGTTTTTATATAATAAAACGTTTTACATTTTATTATATAGATATATATCGGATGGTTGATATTGAAAGTAAAACGAAGAAAATAAGGTCATGACGTTTATCTGGTTAAGTGTCGGTACTTCTGAGGTTGTTCAACGCTAGTCAGCACACGGCAATCTAAATGTCAAGCTGTGGCCATGTGGGCCCACTTAAGATGACTTATCTTTTTTTATACAAGTCAAGGAAAGAAAAGTATTAATAAGTATTTTGTTTTGTTTTTGTTTTTATTTTTATTTTTTTATTTTTTTTGGAAATGAACTTCCTTAGCGAGTGTTTCAGGTCAATTTCTGCACACCTACTAATTCCCGATGCAAACATGCTCTGGAGTCACTGCAGACGAACCTTCATGGTCACAAAGGCTGAGTAGTGCCAATATTTGAATATTAATCAATAAGTTATCCACTATTTCTTCTACATGTTTTATCAAGTCACCACAACCCAAGTGGTTTAATAATAAATATTATGGTTAATAATATTGAAAGAACATCGAACGATCACTATATTATTAGGCTTGAGGGAGTGGCCTCGCCACCAGGGCCGACCCAATACCCGGGCGACTTGGGCTTAGGCCCAGGGTATCAATTTTTTAGGGGCATAAAATAAATCCTACTATACATATATGATATAGTATATGGCCCAAACAAATTATCCCTATGTTTCGTGCGATCTGATTTGGGAGGCGAGAAAGCAGGCAGGGCAACGAAAAGTTAGGCACCAAACAACCATCTATCGTTTCTTCAATTGCACATGGAAAATCGAAACGTTTGTTGGCACTCTGAAATAGGTTGTTGTCGATTGGATGTTTAGAATCACGTGGCGTCTCTGATAAATAAAAGTAAGAAGGATTTATTTTTCACTTTCACTCGATAATGCATAGCTCTCAATTCCCAATTTCTTAGTTATCACTGATTACATTCTATAACTGATTACGTATCTCAATTTCTCTGATTTTGGTTTCTAAATACTCCAATTTTTGTATTTTTTCAAGTTCTAGTTTGTGATTTCTGATTTCTCTAATCTTGCTTGGTGGTTAAAGATCGTGGTTTAAGCCTTCTAGGTTCCTAATATAGTGATTCTATTACAATGATTATGATTTGGGTGTGAATATGATTTGGGTGAGTTCAACTTCTTTTATTCTGATTTCCTTTCCTTGTTGGCATTCTAAATTATGATATGATCTATGTTTAGCGATTTTGTTATTTGCCTCGAAATAAGATTGTTTTTGTTGTCTGTTGAAGTGCAAGGTCTCTTCAAGTAAAATTTCTCCTCTTTTTGAGCTCGAAATCTGCTGATATATGTGGTTTGCTTTAGCCTTCATGTAAAATTTCTTACCATTTGTCATGTGTGTTTGCTTCTGATACAAATTCTTGAAGATCCTTTCTAAACTTTTGTGTTTTTGTTGCTGTGATGTGAACCAGAAGGCATATTTCTGAATTCCGACTTTTGTTTATTTTAAATATCATAACATCTAGTGGAGCAGGAGGTATAAATTTATTTTATTGCTTCTATTAGATAGTAGCTTTAAAATTAGATTCCAATTTTTGATTATATGATTTATGTTTCAGATCTCTTTAAGTTTTGAAAGTGGAAACAAAAAGCCACAAACATAAACGGCATTTTAGCTTAAAAAGTGATGTTGTATCTCCAAAGTATTTTAAAATTGAAGCTCTTGAAATTGTGTCTCCTGCCCATGACTCGAGAAGATTGAAGGGATTAGCATGTTTAAGTATCCAAAGTGATTTTTTACAAAATGTTGATTATTGTAAAACAGGACATGTTTATGCTTCAAAATTACACAAGACATTGTCTAATGTGACTTTTGTATGTTTTTGTTTGTATTATTTGTTTCAATATAAATTTATTATGTGTGTGTGTGTTTTTTTATAATTTTGTTTATTTATACGCCTTGTCAAACGTTTGGTGTATATATATATATATATATATAAGGGCATAAAAATCGTTTCTCGCCCCGGGTAGTAAAAACCATTGGACCGGCCCTGCTCGCCACAACCCTCGCTAAGCCTATGTGGCATCCTCGCTACTACACCTTACATGGTCGCTAAACTCATGCGCTAAATCTAGTTTGCTATCCCCTTGATGAGAAGAAAGAGAACAGGAAAGAAGAGGAAGAAAGGTGGTCCCATTTGACCTTATGATTATTCCAGCTTTAGATGTCTGTACTTCCAGCTTAGGGCCCCCACTTTAAAGTTTATGTTATTTAAAGTTTATGTTATTTAAATATTTAAATAAACATTTATTTGATTAAAGAAAAAAATATATTTTAAACACATCACCACTCCATATCATCATATTATGCTTAGATGTCCAAAAAAAAATATATGACGTGACAATGTTTTAGCACATGCTACCAAATGCTACCACTCCCTTCAACCTTATAGTTGTAAAGTTGGGTCGGGTTAAAACATTTAAAATCGGGTCAAGTCAATCTCCTTTCTAAGCATTTTTCCGTTATTGCAACTGTTTTTAGACATTTTCTTAGGATTGTTTGTCGACTACATTATTTGTGTTAAAGGACCATGCAAAAAGAGCAAATATGTCACGTAATTAGGTTGCTTTCTTAAAGTCTATAAGTAAATCGTAGGCATGGATGATGATTCTAGAATTTGCATAAAGAAATGCAATTTCATTTGGTCTAGAATATTACTTGAAATAAATAAATAAATAATAACAGCGAAAATCTAGATACTGCTTCTTTGTATTTGACAAGGTCAATATTCCAAAATCTTCAATTAAATGTCTATAAGAATATAATTAAAAAAAAAACTGACTACATGTAATGAAAAAATAGATAAAATGAAGGTAACAAATTAAAAGTTGTATGAGAAACTTAAACTTATTAGAGAATTAGTGAAATTGTGTAAACAAAGTCATAAATTCACAATCAAAGTTCTTAAATTAGGTTAATAAGGTAGCTATAAACTTGTGGCAAATAAATACAGTCATCAGAATTTATAAAAGTATTAAGAAACTTAATGATAAAATGATAAAATTATAAACGTGGCGTTATTTTTTATCTATTTTGAAAAGAAAACTAAGTTAACTTAACAAGCAAGCTAAGAGTTTACATTATTTGGTCGGTTGAGTATGGTTTGAATTTAATCGGTAAAATGACATTTGGGACGTGGGTTTATTTGTTTAATTCATTCATCAAAAACATACGTCATCTAAAACCGACCTTAAACGGTCGTCCTTCCAAACTTTAATGAAGACCAAAAGATAACTTAAAGTCGATTCGTATCTAGACGTGACAATGAAGTGAGTTTAGAACGAATCGACCATCAGGCTGGACGGAGTGGCTTCGGCAATAGGCTCGGCGACCTCGGCGAACACCGGGCCGACCTCTCGGCATGCCGAGCTTGGTTCGGCAACTCGGTAGAGATGTGTCTCTTTCTTCTTCCTCCTTCCTTCTCCCCCACTCGGCAACCCGCCCCTTCCTTCTCCCTCTCTTCTTCTTCCGAGTTTCTTCTCCCCCTTTTTGCTGTTGTGGAGTTCGGCAATAGTTGCACGACTCCGTTCAGCCTCATCTAAACTCTTTTAATAAATTTCAAAACTTGATCCAAATCTACTCCACAACCTGCAAAACTATGCTTCTATCCATTAGATCAACAGATATCTAAACCCATAGATTATTTTAATAATCAAACATATTTTACTTAAACCTGAAAATAACATTTCTTAAACAAAAGAATGCATACTATAGCTTAAAACTTAAAATAAAATTTCTTAAATAAAACAAATGACGATTTAGAAAACTCATTACATACTTAAGGGCTTTCGATTGGAAATAAAAATCACTATTGAAGCAACTTCCGATTGATTTTTGGTTGTCGATTGCAGTGATAGAGAATAACTATTACAAATTTTTCTTCCTATTGATAAATGATTTTATTGATTTATATTACATTGGTGATTGGTTGATGAAATATATAAATGAAATATCATCATGATTATTGACAGAAGCCTAGAAGTATGTAAGTGGACTCTTCGAGTCCTAGGTAACATTGTTTGGGCTTTGGCCTTTGAACTTTTAATTGGAATTAAAAATAAACGTTAA